ACCGGATATTAGTGAGATGAGGTGGATAGGAATTGACAGATTACTGAGTGATGGCAAGACTGTTTCTGAAATGATGAACAACATGTGCATAGCATAGGATTGTTGTTGAACAATGGATGAAAGATAGGCACTAAATGGAATGAGTGAATATCACAACAAGGTTCTCAGCAAAGTGTGTGAAGAAAAGGGTTATTTAAGCCACCAACCGAAGTTCTCAGATAAAGCTGAAAAAGACATTTTCTATGTACAATTTTAAGACATTGTCAATGATTTTGCAAATCATGGTACTTTATTACTCAATGAACAAATAGGCAACTACAGACAAGGATGAGAAGCTATGGTTGGTCCCTACAGACAAGCAAGATAAACAAGCAAAAAATAATACCTGCTTCTCTTCTGCAGCAAAAATAAACTTTGCATGGGAAACACTTGTTTGTACATAGAAACCATCATCATTTAAAGACCCCATAATAATCCCTTGTGGGGTGGAGTCTGGGCAACTGAATGGAGCTAGCAGAGTGTGTTAATGGCCGGATGCCCTTCCTGTTGCCAGTGCGGAGTTTTGTTCAGCAGATATATTCTCAACGTGCCCAGAGAGAGAAATATCTGCCTCTACCTAGGATCGAACTCACAGCCTCCCGGTTGTGAGACAAGAGCTCCAGCACTAGGCCACCGCACCATTCTTGTTTTGTACATAGAAATATCCACAAAAAATATGAAGTCACCTGAAGGAACCACCAATCCTGAAATACAGGTAGTCCTCGATTTACAACAGTTCATTTAGTGATTGTTTGAAGTTACAATGGCACTGTATCTTTTCTTTTATGCACACTGAGAGAATTTGCACCAAGACAAATTCCTAGTGTGTCCAATCACACTTGGCCAATAAAGAATTCTATTCTGAAAAAAGTAACCATGGTTGATTCAGCTTTCCCGAGGTGGATAAAATGAGGGCCCATGTCATGCCCTTGTTAGAGTCGGACTCTGAGGGAGAGGAGGAACAGTCAACAGGGAGTGGAGGTGTGGCTCCAGAGGTTGTGGAGGAGGCTGGGGAAGGGCAGAAGCTGGCTGGGCAGTCAGAGGAAGAACCAGGGCCATCTCCTCTTCATCCTAGGGCACGCAGGGAGGAACGAAGAAGGAAACAACTTGGCTTACGAGAGAAGAAGCGGCCATGATCCCCCTCATTAGTTGCAGCTGGGGAGAATAGTATATAAGAGAGACGGTCAGTTGCCAGAAGCAAAGTGTGTTTTATTTTGATCTTGGTTGGCGTCCTTCCAACAGACTGTGCCTTGTTATCTCCTAGAAGTTGGTAATTACTTATCCTGGTCCGTTGTGGAATTTCCTTCATTGTAATTTGTTTTGGTTTTTTTATTTCACCTCTATCTGCTCATTAAGTTCAGACTGTATTGCTTTCTTTTAAAAACTATTTTTGAATAAATTTTATCTCCAACTGAGAATTATTGAACAGTTGGGCCAAGTTGGAGGCATTAAAGAACATTTATTTACATTTTGGATTTTGTTACGTTTGTGTTACACTCCGGAGGGGGGGGCAATATGCTGACTCTGGAAACCGCTTAGAGAGGGCTGTAAAGCACTGTGAAGTGGTATAGAAGTCTACTGTAAGTGTTATTGCTATAAGCTATTTTTTTCACACTTATGGCCATTGCAGCATTCCCATGGTCACGTGATCAAAATTCAGATGCTTGGCAACTGACTCCTAGTTATGACAGTTGCATTATCCCGGGGTCATGTGATCATTCTTTTCAAGCTTCTGACAAGCAAAATCATTTGGGGAAGCCAGATTCACTTAACAAAGGAATTGTGGCAAGAAAGATTGTAAAATAGGGCAAAACTCACTTAACATTTAAGCTAAGAAGTCACACTATTGCTGGAGAATGCGACCATGACTTAGGATTTAAGTCAAATCTTAATCATTTTATCATCTGCACCTCTATAACTGTCTGGTTTGGTTCTGCAACCCAACAGGACAGACACAGACTTCAGAAGATAATTAGGACTGCAGAAAAAACAATTACTACCAACCTGCCTTCCGTCAAGGACCTATATACTGCACGAGTCAAAAAAAAAGGGCTGTGAAAATATCTACAGACAGACCCCTCACACCCCGGACATAAACTGTTACAACTCCATCCTTCAAAACAACTGCACACCAGAACAACTAGACAGAAGGACAGTTTCCCCCCCGAATGCTATCACTCTGCTAAACAAATAATTCCCCCAACACTGTCCAACTATTTACAAAGTCTGCATTACCATTACTATTAACTTTCTCATCACTCCTTATCACCCATCCTGTCCCACTTGTGACTGTATGGCTGTAACTTTGTCGCTTGTATCCTTACGATTTATATTGACTGTTTCCTAGTATGATTTGATTGCTTATTGTACCCTATGACTATCATTAAGTGTCGTACCTTATGATTTTCGACTCCTGACAAATGTATCTTTTCTTTTAGGTACACTGAGAGTATTTACACCAAGACAAATTCCTTGTGTGTCCAATCACACTTGGCCAATAAAGAATTCTATCTATCTATTAAAACGGCTTTCAACGATGACAGCGTGGAGATAACCAGTAGAATACCACCACTGCAATGGATGTAGTTCAAACAGTAACCCAGACTGCGGAGGAAAGCATAGGATGAAGAGAAATACAAAAATAATTCTGAATTCAAGACCACACCTGGAAACTAACGGAGGAATGGAAATCTGTGAAACACCCAAGAGGACAGGCCAAGTTACCAAATGTCCAGCTAGAAGTTGTGATGAGGCAGGAAATACCGAACCATAAATTCAAGAGATGTTTCCAGGCTCACAAAAAAAAAAAAAAAAAGGTTGAAAGATTAAAGCAGCTGAAACAGGAGTAGTGGCCAACAATACCGAAGTTGTCATATTTTTAAGAATTAACTTGATTAAAAAAAATAACGCCAATGCTCTTATCAAAGACAAGAACAGGAAGATTTTGCTCAAATAAGGAAGAACAAAAAAGCATGCTGGGTGGATAACAAAATCAGCCAAGTTCAATGCTTAACGTATAATTTGGGGGCTTTCCGTCGCTCTGACAGACTTGAATGCAGGCCTGGGTAATAATCACAGTCAGGGAAACTGAGCAAGCACTGAGAACTTTAAAGAATAACAAATCCCTGGGTTTAGACCGAATCACAACAGAATTACTGAAGCATGATTGGAACAGCATGGTGCAGGAATTAACAAGGCTGTTAAATGCGGGCAAAATGTGTGGGTCCCGGACGAGGGGAGAAAAAAAAAGAGTGATTATCAAATTGTCCCCTGAAGGGGTAAGAACTGAAAATGCATCACACTCTTTTCAGCCCCCAGTAAAGCCTTTTGTTTTGTTCTACCCAGGCAGCTTCTGGACGGAGAGGAAAACACATTTTGGGAAGAACAAGCCGAGTTCCAACTCCTGCAGTTGACTGAAATTGTTGCCCAGCGTTCTGTAACTGTGCAGGAGGGCCTGCATTCTAAATTTTCAGAAATACGTTGCATTCCATACCATTGAGAGGCAGTTTGGTCTAGTGGTTAAAGCACCAGACCAGAAAGGGAGACTGTGAGTTCTAGTCCCACCTTAGGCATGAAAGCCAACTGGATGACTTTGGGCCAAACACCAGGAGACTGTGAGTTCTAATCCCACCTTAGGCATGAAAACCAGCTGAATGACTTTGGGCCTATGGTTGTGGGGGCCAGTGGAGCAGGAAGCAGTGGTGCTATTCAAATTTTTTTACTACCTGTTCTGTGGGCATGGCATGGTGGGTGTGGCATGGCTTGGTGAGTGTGGCAGGGGAAGATATACCGCAAAATCCCCATTCCCTCCCCACCCCACTAGCCTGCTTTCCAACTCCATTCTCCTGTGCAGGGCAACACAAGAAGACCCAGCTGATCAGCTGGGACACGGGAGGCAGAGAATTTTATTTTTTATTTTATTTGGTTTGTCAATTGCTTGCAAAATAATAGGTATAAGTAAAAACATAGTTATGAATACATGGATATATATAAGAAAAATAAAAAAAACAATAGGACAGGGACGGTAGGCACGTTGGTGCACCGGTCAGAGGTGGGATTTGCCGGTTCTCCAAACTACCCAGAATTTCCACTACCGGTTCTCCAGAACCTGTCAGAACTGGCTGAATATCACCTCTGAAGCAGGCCTAAGGCGGGATGGGAAGTTGTGCAGAAGTGGGGGGAGGTCCAGGAGACCTCACGCGGGTGTGAACCGAGTTTGTTCTGCAGTGTGGATCTGGGCTTGACATAGAGCGCGGGCCTGCGTACTTATCCCGGGATTCTAGGGAGTGCTAAGATTGCAGTCGTTGAGTGAGGCAGTCACATGGGTGCCTTGCTTAATGACTGCAGTGCCTTAAGACCATAATGCTAGGCTCAGATGTGGTCATGTCGAGGACTGCTTGGTGTGTGTATCCATGGAAGCTGCAGAAAAGTTAGAGATACATTTTCTTTATGGCAGGGCCTGGAAGCCTTTCTAAATTGTCCTCCTTCAGACCACTCACACTGAGCCATGGAAGTCGTAAATGGAAGCTGTGATGAACATAATGCACTGTATTTGGGCCTGCGTAAGACTGGCCATGGAAACTATCACTGGCACGCAATGGTGCCCCTAACTTGCTGAAAAAGCCAATGGATTGTGAAAGTGGGCATGTGTGATGACCGAGAGTGTCCCACAAATGTAACAAAATCAAAACATAAATAAATGTTCTTTAATGCCTTCAACTTGGCTTCACTGTTCAATTGTTCACAGTTGGAGATTAAACTCTTTTGAAAATAACATTCCAAATGAAAGAAATAAAGTCCGACTCAAAGAGCAGATAACGAGGCAATAAAAAACCCAAAACAAACCACACTGAAGAAAGTTCCATGACAGACCAGGATAATTAATTACAAATTTCAAGAAGATAACCAGGTATAGTCTGTTGAAAGAACACCAACCAAGACAAACCTCATCCAGGTATAAGACGCTCATCGTTTCCAGCGTTTGCTAGCACTCAGGTCCAAACTCTTATGCAGTTCTCACACCTGCATCCCATGAAGAGGATCAAGGCCCTCTCCTCCCCAGTAGACCACGTCTCTCCCTTATCCTCTCCTCCCTGTGTGCCCTAAGATGGGTAGGGGATGGGCCTGGGTCCTCCTCTGACTGCCCAGCCGGCTTCTGCCCTTCCCCAGCCTCCTCCACAACCTCTGGAGCCACACTTCCGCTCCCTATTGGCTGTTCCTCCTCTCCCTCAGAGTCAGTCTCCACCAGGGGCATGACAGCATGTGAAAGTGAAATTGTTGCTCTTTCAGCGCTCCTTCACAACTTAGAAAGCTCCCCCCACCCCCCCATGGGATTGTGTATTCCTTAGCTGCTGGACTGGCCACTATGATCTGGTGGGAATGGCCCCTTGATGATGCCACACAGGCAGGAAATCACCATACAGCCACCAAACAAGGATATTGTTAAGATAAGCACCCCGCTCAGGAATTCCTTTCTGTTTGAGTTATGGCTGGCACGCAGCCTGGCAGACTATCGGTGCCAGCAGAAAACTTAACAATTTGGCTAGACTATCCATGAAACTTCTATTGCTTGTTATTCCTGTCTTTGTCAGATGGCTGAATGGCCTTAATCCTAATTTGATCCTCACTTTGGGAATATTACATTTCTGTGAAAAGGGAAAAGTTTTTTTTTTTAAAAAAAGAAAACAAATACATCAGGAATGCTATTTCAAAGCCTTTAAGGATTCGAGGAAGAGAGCAGGACGTGTACTGTAACAATAAGTGATACTCATAAAAGTGTAACAGTAATTATAAAAAATATTTTCTGTCTAGTTGTCAGAAAAAGCAACACAAGTATATTATAGAAATCCCCCCCCCCCACCAAGTATTGTTCAGGTAATTGGTGGGAAGAATTACAGAGAAGTTTAAAAGATTGTGTTCTCATTGAGAAGGGCAACCAGATTAGACGGCAGGACCGATCTAACTCAATCAGGGCAAGTTTAGGGATTTCAGGAGTGAGAGAAAGCAACTGAGGACCAGAAAGAGTTTCCAAGGCCCTTTGTACAAACAAAGTGGGACACGGAGCTTCATTCCACGCATGTTAATAAAAAAGATTTTGCTCTGCCTGTTAATCACAGGAAATCATCTACGTGCATTAGCAATGAAAAGGTAAAAATCTGCACAGTGAATGTAAAGAGTGCAAAACAAGCGGTCTATCCTGAATGCAGGATTTTTATTTATTTTATTTAGTTAGTTAGTTTAGTTTGTCAAGCATGTATGAGAAAACAAGTATGAACATAACATGTAAACATATAAGTGTAAGCAGGTTTAAGTATATAAATGAGTACAAATAAATGGGAAGAGTAGGACAGGGACGGTAGGCACACTGGTGCATTTATTCGTGCCCCCTTACAGACCTCTTAGGAATGGGGTGAGATCCACGGTAGACAGTTTAAGGTTAAAGTTTTGGGGGGTTGAGGATGTTTGAGGTTTTGGCACCATTAAAAAAAATAATCTTAATGGCCATGCTCAAAATTAGCAATTCACAAAAAAACCAAAAAAGCAGATAATTTACTGGGTGGAGGTCGAAGTGAGATGTTCACAGGTTTTGTCACAACAATTTAAATTTGGATTCAGGCAGAAGATGAAGTAGGGAAGTCTCAAGTTTTGTCTCAGGTTGTGTATGACCAATGGATTTCTGCAGACAAAGATGGTGAGAAGGTGGTTGAAGGAAAAGAAGAAATTACTCAGGGGCTTAAAAAGTAGGTTGCTACCTGAGTGGGAAGGATCTTGAGAAATTCTTTCAGAGCAAAGAGAAGACAATGGTTAGGCTCAGGACGAAGCAGGACAAGAGGATCAGTTGGCTTAGTGGAATACTGTAATACAAAGGCCAAATCCCAGGAGACAGATAGGTATTCATTCTTTTTTTTTTACATTTGTGTGCCACTGATCTTGTCCAGAGATGATTCTGTTTATCTATCTATCTATCTATCTATCTATCTATCTATCTATCTATCTATCTATCTATCTATCTATCTATCTATCTATCATCTGTCTGTCTGTCTATCTGTCTATCTATCATCTATCTATCATCTATCTATCTATCTATCTATCTATCTATCTATCTATCTATCTATC